GGTCATGATCCCAGAGTCCTGGGATCAAGTCCCATGTTGGGATCCCTGCTCAGCTGGGGGGCTCCCTCTCCCTCTGCCCCTCATCCCTGCTTGTGTCCTCTCTTTCTCAAATAAATCTTTAAAACAAAACATGTCCACACAAAAACATGTACACAGATGTTCACAGCACTATTCATAAGCATCAGAAAGTGGAAACAACCTATGGGGCACCTTGTTGGCTCTGTCAGCAGAGCATGCAACTCTTGTTCAGGGTCGTGAGTTTGAACACCACACTGGGTGTAGAGATTACTTAAAATTTAAAAAAGTGGAAACAACCCAAAAGTTCATCAACTGATGAATGGATAAACAAAATGTGGTGTATGCATTCAATAGAATATTAGTTGGCAATAAAAGAAATACTGATACATGCTACAACATGGATGAACCTTAACCGTACTAAATAAAAGATGCCAGTCACAAATTTGTCCTGAATAAGCAAATCCATAGATAGAAAGTAGAATAATGGTTGTCAGGAGCTGGGGAATGGGGCAATTTGGGGAGTGATGAGATGTTTCCCTGGCCTCCCAGAGTTTATGATCCAGTGGGGAAACAAATTAAACATATTTACACAAATAATTATCAATTACTGTTGGGACAGGAATGCAAATGTGGTCTGATGGAGTGTTTTCCTTGCCCTGACCCCCAAATCAGTGGCCCCCATCTGTAAAATGAGAAGGGTGTATCCTTGGTGGAGCTGCCCTCTAGGAGTCAGTCTTTTTCGTGAGATCCCCCCAAAAAACTAAGAAAATCAAACCTAATATATGCCTTGTAGCAAACTGAGGAGCATGCATAAGGGTCAAGCTAAAGGGGGATGAGCAAAGAGGCATGCTAAGGGGCAGAAGAATTTTGGGGATGCTCTATTTCTTAATCATACTCGATTTAGTTTCAGATTGGGAGGGAAAGCTCCATCTACCATTATTAATGTCTGTCACTTAACTAACCCTTTAGGAAAGTTACCATGCAAAAGGAACAAAAGTATGTGGAGAAAAAAACCGTCAAGGTGCAATATTAAATAGTTCTGGTTAACAAGTAACTTGATTTTTTTGTTGTTGTTAAACAAGTTCACTATATTCTCCAGGAACCAGTGCCCCCCCCCCCCGCCCAGTCCAGCCCCCTCAATTTGTAAACAACAGCAAGTCAAATACTCAGGGCTATCTTCCTTTACGAACTGTCTAAATCAGAATAGCATTCAGTCATCTACACCTACGTATTTTTTAAATGTTTGCACAACCTTAGTTTTACCCCCGAATTTTAAGTTTCCAACTTTAAAAGACAGAGGCAAAACGAAAAGTGTTCACCACAGTTTCAATGTTCCTGGTTAATAAAAAAATGTCTTTATTCTAATGCTGACCAATAAAATGTATACAGTGGTGCAGTTTTCAAGTAATATACTACAACATCCTTTTCTGCAACTCCAGGGGAAAAAGGGTCACTTTCTTCAGTCTAATTCAAATCAACAGTGATTTGCTCTTTTACAATGTTTTTACGAAGAAGATAAAAGCGACACCCTGCCTTTTACAGCAGGTCTGCAAATTGCGCAGGGAAATGAGAACCTCCCTTTTAAGGCTACAGCGGCTGCTCCAAACAGCCGGACACCCATTAGCAGCACAGGAGCGTGATATCCGGCCCACGATCCCCCGACGGGAGGCCCGCTCAGCCGGGGAAACCCCGCCCCCAGGAGGACAGGCTGGAGCACACCCCGGGCAGCACATCGGCGGAACCCAGCTGTCCCGCACAAGTTAGCCCCTGAGCACCGCCGGACGGCTCCCGTGCTGTTCCAGTCCCGGAGCTGGCAGCCTCCGCCATACACACCTCAGCGCCAGCCAAAGGCTGTTACGTGTGGCACACAAAGGCCCGGAAACCCAGGGCCGTAAGGTCACCTGGCCGAGTAAAAGGCACGGTCCGAGAAGTTCCATTTGTAAAATCCGCGTGACTCGCAACTGCCTTAGAACTCGAGGCTGAGCGCTCATTACCCCCCAAACCCAGCGGGGTCCGGCCCTTTTAGACCCCGGCCATCCACCGTGCCGGAGGAGCTTCGCGCCCCGGGAGGGTTTCGAACTACGTGAGCCGACTCAGAAGAAGGGGCTCTAAAAGCTGAAGGGGGTCGCAAAAAGCGACAAAGATGATTCCCAGGCCTCGGGCTCTCACCCATTCCACACCGCTCTGAGCCAACCAACTCCAAGGGGTCCTGCGGGGCCAGCCCCTCAGTATCTGCGGAAAGCTCCTTAGTTTACAAAGAAGCCAACCAGGGGGAAGAGCGGCTGAGCCCTCTAGGTACCCTTTAGATGCGAGCACTCCATTCCCTCCTCTTCCCTTCGCGGACCTCAGCCTCTCCCGTTTGTCCCATCTAGTTGGCCCTCCCGGCGCAGGGATCCCCATCAAAGTCACCTAGAGGGGGATGCGAGAGGTGGTGGCAGCAGCAGCAGAACACCCTTCGCGCACCTGCCCGCTTCCACCACCTGCCCGTGTGCCTTGGACCCCCACTCCTTAGCGGCAGGAGCCCTCCCTGACCAAGTTTCTCACCTTGGATGGTGCGACTGCAAGACACAGAGGCCGCCAGCAGGATGGCGCCCCCCAGCAGCCACGCTGCGCTCACGCTTCGCATCCTTCCTGCAGCCCCGCCGCCGGGCGGGCAGGGCATTCGCCGCCACTGATTCGAAACTCGGAGCCCCACTCGCCGCTCGGAGAGGAAGCCGCGGTCTCACCTGCTCTAATCCAAGCCTCTCCGCGCTCCTCCCGGGAGAGGGCTAAGTTTCAGTGAAACCCGAGGCGCTCGGCGCACCTGCGCGAGGCCACGCCCCCGGGGCGGAACGCGCGGCTCGGCCCCGCCCCTGCGAACTTCCAACGCGCGGGTCCGGCTCGCGGCAGTCAGGCCCAGCGCGCGAGCCCCCACCTACGCGCTGCAGGTGCGCCAGCCGCGGCCGGGAGGGTGCGGGGGCCGCCCGCGGGCGGGGCCGGGCGGGTGAAGTAGCTGTATTGGAATGCAAATGACAGAAACGCCGGGACGACGAGTTCTCTTCGACCGGGCCACGCCTAGAACTCCCATTAACCTTTAATCACTTTTGGGGAGCCAGGGTCTTCCGTGTCTTTCCCTCCCCTTTGCTAAATGGAAAAAGCCGAGGCCCAAGCTCACGGACTTTGTCGTTGGTAATTGGTAGAGGGTTCCCAGTGTAGCGGGCACCGGGGGGATAAGGGGTGAGTTTGTTGATTTTTTTTTTTTTCCGCTTTGTTTGTTTTGTTTTGTTTTTTTGAAGGGGTAAGTTTATAATCTGCAAAGACTTGGTGGATCGCTGCGGACACCAACGAAAGCGGTGGGGAGCAGGAAGGAGTCCCGGCGAGGGGTCAAGGATCTGGAATTTCCACTCTGCTGTTAACTACCTGTGACCTCGAACAAACCTCTTCACCCCCTTCTAGGCCCATTTCCTCGTCCATGAGGTGGAGCGGGTGAGGTGATAGTTGGGACAGCTACCTTAAGTGCCAAGAGCTAATGATTTGTAACACTAGTTTAATACCGACCGCGAGCCGCGCATTAAGTATGCTTATTCCCAATTTAGAGATGAGGAAATGGCGTTTAGAAAGGTTGGATAAATTGCCCAGTTATGCAGTTTATAGGCACAGTTTATAAACACACACCACATTTAATCTCTAGTCTATGACAGCCACTTTCTATTAATCACTGCACTATAAATGCTTCGACCAGGGTCTCCCCCGCATCGGGAGCTGGTAGCCCAAAGAAATATATAAGGAGATAGAGGGGGTGTTGAGAAAAGGAGTGAGAGTTTGGGGGTGGGTGCACAAGGGCCAGCATCATACTGGTAATATTTTTTGCTTTGAAAAGGCAAAATCAGGGGCACCTAGGTGGCTCAGTTGGTTAAGCGATTGCCTTCGGCTCAGGTCATGATCCCAGGGTCCTGGGATGGAGCCCCGCATCGGGCTCCCTGCTCAGTGGGCCTGCTTCTCCCTTTCCCACTCCCCCTGCTTGTGTTCCCTCTCACGCTGTCTCTCTCTCTGTCAAATATATAAATAAAATCTTTTAAAGAAAAGAAAAGGCAAAATCAAGTTTAAAGTTACCTGCTAAACTACTGGGTGATGGAGGAGCAGAAAAGAGAAACATTAGTATTGTCCTCAGATGTTTGAAGGATTAGCTCAGAGAAGAGGATTAGACAGATTTTGAGTAGCTCCCTGAGAGCAGAAATATATGGAAGCCACTGTGGGAGGCTAACTGTGGCTCAGTATAGAAAGAGATTTCTAGCAAGTACCACTGGTCTCAGTCCTGAGAGCTGTCAGCTGAGATTGAGGGCCACATCACTACAGCACTTGCAGCAAAGGACCAGGCCATCCCTGTGGCACAATGGAGAGGGGAGTTCCTTCCCAGAGTGAGGGGCCAGATTGGGTGAGTCTAGATAGCCTCTTGAGAGGCTTGAGTCCTGAGAGTCTACCATTCTCCTTAGAAGACCTCTAAGTTTGGTAAATCAGTTGCTGGTGACTATCATGAATTTTTGAACCACCATAAACCAAATGGCCACAGACCTGTGAGTTTCTAAGATGGAGCTCACATCTGATAAGGGCCCTGTGTGACTTCTTACTGACCCCACCATGGGGCCAATAAACAAAACTAATGTGAGCTCCAGATAATTCGGGCAGACAAAATTGTATAAAATATCATGTTAGCCAGTTGTTCCAACCATATGCCCAATAAGACATTTCCCAAGTTACCTAAGTGGATGGTTAGCATGCTGCCTCTTCCCTGGGTCCTGACAGGAGCTCGCAGGAGTAGGGAAATAAATGGTTGAAAACAAAGAGTAGCAAATGGCCCTGAACCTGCCATGAGAATGGAATAATTGCTCCCTGAATAACGGGAGTGACTGCCTCTCAACACACATACAGCCAAGAATGGCCAGCGAAAGCTATCCAGATTTTTTTTTTAAGATTCTCTTTATTTATGAGAGAGAGACAGACAGAAGAGACAGAGCGGGGGTGGGGAGGAGCAGAGGGAGAAGGACAAGCAGACTCCATGCTGAGCACAGAACCCCACATAGGACTCGATCTCAGGACCCTGAAATCATGATCAGTGCTCAAACGAGGAGTAGACACTTAAGTGTCTGAGCCACCCAGGCGCCCCCAGAATTCTTTTTCCTGGCTGCCTTTCAGTAGGGCATCTCTTAGGAATCTCTCACTGTTATGTCTCCAGTTCTCTGGGGAATGTGATTAAGAGCTTGGCCTTGAAATCATGTAACCTTGCTAACATTTGTGTGACCTCACAGAAATTACTTACCTTCTCTAAGCTTTCGGTTCTTTACTTATAAAATGGAGTCAATATTTTTTTAGTTTAAAGGTGTGTGAGGATAAAATAGTGACCATGTTTGATGCCTGGTGAAAGCTCAACAGATGGGCTTTTTATTTCCTTCCTTTCTCTCTGCAGTCTTCTTTACACCCCAACCTACCACCTAGCTCTCAGGATGCTGCCTCCCAGGGCCACTTGCCGCAGCCGATGCCCTCTCTCCCTCCCAGGAAAAGTTGCCTTCTAGCAGCAGCACAGGGGTCTTCCACATCCTGTCCAGGGGACACCTCCTCATGAGGATCAGTCCTCTCCGACAGGGTCTCTCACTAGGGAAGATAAGATACTAAATCCCTATGATGACCCTTCTCGGGCTCCATTTTGTTATCTATAATCTGGGGATGTCCATAGTACCTTTCTTGTAGGATGGTTGTGAAGATTTAGTTTGCTAAATGCTCATAAATACTTCTTAGCACAGTTCCTGGTATAGAGTAAATACTCAAGAGATAGTAGTTACTATAGAATGACTGGACCAGGAAGAGTCTTGGCAGAGAACAATGCATAAAACTCCAGCTGTTTTGACTTAAAATTTCACTGGTATTTTATGTAAATATGCCTTGAATCATCAACATTTCAAAGAAAATATCTTATTGAGCACCGCTATGAGTTAATTATCTCATGAGTGTGTTTTCTCCCAACCACCTGACTAAATGAACTGCATTATTTAAGTCCGCTTGCCCATGTTTTCCAGTGATTTGTTTTTTGATGTTGATGACTTCTTTGCCCTGAAGGGCTTAGGGTATTGTATGGTGCTATGGAGCAGTACAGAGAAGTAAACACAGCCAATTCCAGATAGTCTGGCTTCCAGGGATTGGGAAGTTTGGGCAGTTTCCCACCCTCTACAGTTCTAAAGAAAATAAAGTAGGAAATGGGATGGGCCAGACACTGAGGAAGAAGCCATTTCATTCAATCAGTTCTACAGCCATTTATCAAACTCATCAAACTCTTCCTGGAGAAACAAAGATCTAGTCCCTACACTTGGATCCTGGATTCTTGCAATAGCCTTGTGACTTGTATCCTTCCCTCTGACACTCTACACAGTCTCCTCCCAATATAGTGGTCAGAGTGAACCTGTGAAAATGTGCATCAGATCAGATCACTTCCTTATTTCAAATACTGACGTAGTTCCCCACTTCCCTGGGAGTACAAACCAAAGTCTGTCAAAAGTGTATGCATCCTGCCTTCCTCCCCCATACACACACAACACACACACACATAACACACACACACATGCATACATATACTCCCTTTTACTTCATCTCTTTTATTCCCCCCCCTCATTCTGCTCCAGCCATGCCTGGACCATAGCTTTGGTCTTTACTCCTTTCAAGTATTTGCTACAACACTATTTTCTCAGCGGGGCCTTATAAGAACTACTTATTTAAAATTATACTCCTGGAGAGCCTGGCTGGCGCGGTCAGTGGAGCATATGACTCTCGATCTCGGGCTTGTGGGTTTGAGCCCCACGTTGGGTGTAGCAATTACTTAAAAATAAAATAAAATAAAAAAGATAAAAGAATAATTAAAAAAATAAAATTACCCTCCCTCCCTGAACGTTTTCCTCTCTGGCACACATCCCCAGTATCGCTACTCTACATGTATTTACTTACTATCTAGCTCCCCCACCACGACGCGATGCAAGCTCTATGACTACAGAGATTTTTTTCTTTCACTGTAGCTTGCAGAATTGTTTAAAAGATTGAGGAAATAACACCATCTGAAGGTGGCAACGGTCTCTTACACACTCAACTCTCTGATGTCAAATCAGTATTTAAGTCCCAGTTTAAATCACTTCTTAAAATACGGGGAGGCCAATGTCTAAAACACTGCAAAGGTGAGCCTTTAAAATGTAGAGGACTGGGATTTTTATCTGTTTTGCCCACTGCTGTATTCCCAGTGCTAGAATAGTGTCTAGCACATAGAAGGAACTCAACACATACTTGTGAAGGAGTCAGTTTTTATATACTGCCTACCTACTATCTATCATTCTGCTAAAATCTAGAATTGCAAAGATCAGTATCTCTGCTTCCATTGAATTGATGGTCAAATGTGAAGAGAGATGCATAGATGAAGTCAGGTACTGGGGGTGGGGGTAGTGGTAAGTGACACATCTTTGAAGGTCTGTGGACACACACAGAATGACACCTGCCTGGGGGAATGAGAAAAGGGTTTCTAAAGGACAGGGCATGTGAAGACAGCCTTGAAGCTTGAACAGTTCACCCGGTAGCTCATTTAAGATAAGGCTAGCTGCTATAACACATAAATCTCTAAGTCTTAGTGATTCACTGCAATAGATGTTTATTTCTTACTCGCTTAAAGCCAAATCCAAGGCTAAGTTTGGTGGGAGTCTCTCTTCCAAGTGGGGATAAATGAGCGGGGCTTCTCCCATCTTGGGACTCAGCCTTCTTCA